GTACCTATCACTATGCATTTAACATATCCAGGCTTCTTTGGTCTGTCACTATTTTAACTGTTTAGAACCTCCACCTTAAGGCACTTGCTAGTTCTGGTATTTCACTTCCTACAGTACACTATGGGATTTGATTAATGTGATGGTTGGGATTTTTCAGGGTGTTCTTTCTCATACACATCTTCAGGTCCTTCTAGTGGAAGGATGTGCAGAGGGAACTCATGCCTAAATTCGGTACAAACAGGTATTGGGTCTGGGCTTTTGATGAAAACTGTTAATTTTCAGTTACTCCACATTAGTGATGTCCCGAACTGTTCACCGAACGGTTCGCCACGGACTCATCATTGAGTAAACTTTGACCCTGTACCTCACAGTCAGCAGACACATTCCAGCCAATCAGCAGCAGACCCTCCCACCTCCTGGACAGCTCACTAAGAATGCAGCTTCACAATGGATGCTGTCCAGGAGGTGGGAGGGTCTGGGAGGGAGGGTCTGCTGCTGATCGGCTGGAATGTGTCTGCAGACTGAGAGGTACAGGGTCAAAGTTTACTCAATGACGAGTCCGCGGCGAACCATTTGGCGAACAGTTCGGGACATCACTACTCCACATGTCTGCACTGTTATGTTTTATAATATGCCTTTCTGTCACTATGCCACTTGCGGCTGGTTATCCTCAGCTTGATAATTTGGGAACCGCACTCTCACCTCCTGACATATACTTCACAGGGGTCTTGTTGTTCAATTATTCTGGCCAATCTTTCATGACCTATATCATTAAGTAAAGTCTCACCAGGTATGTTTTATGGCAACCATTGCATATCTGGGGGTATAGTCAACTTAGCCATTTATCACACTGTTTAATATCCTTTGTTAGTTTGGTAACAGACATTAATAGAGTATTTTGGGTTCTGTAGTTCTAATACATCTGGGTATCTACCTTCTGGGCACCCCTGATCTAGAATAACTCAATCATTCTGTAAAAATGTGAGATATACCCCTTTGTTGAAGACCATTTTTATTGTGTGTAGCCACTTGGATTTGTGGATATAATCTGTCTGTTTTTAATGGTTTCTTTTTGTAAGTTTCATATAAACTTATAAACTAATGTATTTTTAACTTGGTGTCTTCATTTGGCAAGTATTAAAACTCCTTTAGTGTTTGACTTGCTAAGGACATTAAGTCTGTTTTTCATTTATGCTCACTTCATATACTTTGGATGTCATGGCAAACATAAATGGGGTGAATAATACTAATGATGATGATCTCATATTGTTAGGTAAACTCTCTTTTTAACTGTAATACGCCTTTTAACAGGAAAAGGAGCAAGGTTCTTAGAGGACTGCACTCACACTTACCTATCACCCCTGCAAATGGCTATTGGGGGGAGTCAAGGGCCAGATTAGGGTTGGTTTACTACCTGTTAAATGTCTCATCACGAGTAATGGATTAGCACCACAGCAATGTATCCATCTTTCATAAATTATTAGATCCCCAGGATACATCTCTTTGTAACTACATCAATTTGCAAACATTCAAAATTAACTTATGCGCTCAAACTCCCACTACTTCAAGGCGGCACAAATGACTGTAGTACACATCAGCCCCAAACATACAATAAAAAAATGTTCCCATGGACATTAAAGTGTCACTTTCTGATAATGAGAAATCCTCTTTCTTTCACTCCAGCAAATACTACAGGAGAATTTTTCTATGTTAAAGTGGCACTGTCACCTATCTTGTGGCCAAAAACTTCTAATGGTGACATTGCCACTGGGGGTCTGATGGTTGGGAGGCAGATAAAGGGGAGTTCTACTTACCTAAACCTATCTTTTGTGGAAACCATCATCTTCTTTCAGTGGGTCCTCTTCAGCACCAGGACCAACGTCACTGTTGTACTCCCTAGCATGTGTGAAATACAGGAAACTGAGATTTATGGAGGTTCCTGGGAGACCACGGAATCCCCCATAGACAGAGCCAATCCCTGTAGCAGTCACTGGCTGGGAGACACACTACTGGACTGCGGTAGCTCCGCCCAGTGTTTAAAAACACCCGGCATAGATAAACTGCAAACTACAGAAGACAAAGGCTCTATTCACATATCTGTCCCTACTTTGTCTTATGTTTTTCGCTAGAAATAAAAAGAGTAGGAAAGAGGAAAAGAAGAGGATGTGGGGGAAAAGTAAGTAAGGTGTGACTGTGCCGCTTTAAGTGGACAGAAGAGGATAGTATAAAATGTTTCAATCTGAAGTGACTGTTTCCCTTTAAACCAGACAGATTCTCCAAAATGTCTTTTAAACAAAACACTATCACACGTTACAATAAAATATATTGTGAATGAGAGCAATTTAATGTAAACATAGATTCAGATCCAGGTAGCTGTGTTAGAAAATATTTTTAAATTAATATAATTTTTGTTAAATCCTAGGTGCGAGTCTCATTGATGACATAGAGAAATATTTCTGGTTTCATCATTCACAAGGAGATACTATGACAGTTCAGAATCCAATCTGGATGAACCTCTGTGCTGCTGTTTGGACTGTTGTTTCGTATGTTGTGGCTGATATGGAAGAGATGTTGCCAAGGTAATAAAAAGCAAGACAGCAGGCTCCTATTCTTCAATGTGAACTGAAAAATCCGTATATTCATTTATCTGTTTTTTCCGATCAGAAAGTAAATCATGCTCTTTTTTATTATGTAAAATCTGGCCATATTATATTACCACGGAAAATTGATTCCTTCATATCCATTTGTTTGCTTGATAATTCAGTTTTTTTGTCATTGAATCAGAAGTTGATTTGTCTGTTCTGCTCTATTTTAATATTACTGTCAGAAATAAATATAATATTACACCATCTACTGTATTTCTAACTCTTTTATCTATCGCCAAACCATACTAGGAATTTGCATCATATTACATTGTATTTATTTTCTTTTGTTTCCTACTACATGATATAGTATATTGAATATTCAGCATAATTCTAAATGTCTTCTTAGTTTTTCATGGCTGTATGTGACTCTACTTTCCACTTAATTACCCCCACATTTTTGTTTTTTCACCTACGTCCAATTAAAATACAGATTTATACTAACCAGAGCTGTTTTCACTCTCTAGTTAATATACTATATGCCCTATATAGCTTATTAATATTATACACATACTGTAAACTACCTAACACTAGTGGAAAGCTGTTAAAAATGTGTCCATACAATCCTCATTCACAATGAATCCAGTTGTTTTGTTTTTATCCTATAATGCAATACTGGGTGCCCCACGTCAAAAGTTTACTCCACGTGCCCCATTACAGTATTCAAAATATAAGGTCTGTTTATTAATAAATTATATTCTAAGTTTTCTGGGGGGTTTTTGGGGCCAATTATGAGAAATAGAATTTATGCTTGGAGTTATCACATATATGATTGCAGCATATAGTTTGGTTTAATATAATGTTATTTTAGAACAGACATAGACATTAGGACCGACTCTGCATTTCTTCATATTACTTCTCATTTACCGTCTGATGATTCTCTGTGCTGTTTCATATATTGACTTCCATTATCCTCAATATCCGTCCCTAACATGCAGGGCGCTAATAAAAATTGAAAGCATATTTTATTTTATTCAATCCTCTGGCATTTTGTTCACAATGAACCTGGCTTCTTAAATAGACACTATAGTCACCAGAATCACAACGGCTTAATGTAGGGATTCTGATGTCTCTAGCATGCCCTTTCCAGACTGTTACATCGTAACACCTCTAGGTGCAGTCACTCAGATGGTCACTATAGGTGCTTCCTATTCAGTGCTGCATTGCGTGCAGCACTTGCATTCAGCATCTCCACACTCTGCATGGAGATGCTGAACGCTCGCTAACCGCTGTATCTCAAGATTGATAATCTCAGCCATGAAGGTGGAGCCAGCCATGGCGAGACCAGCACGACAATGGAGAAAAGGTAAGTAAGCTACCTTTTAACTCCTTACTAAGGAGGACAGGACCTAAATAGGTAGACCAGCACAATAGTATTAGGAATACATGCTTGTATTCCTAACACTGTAGTGTTCCTTTAAATGTTTTGTTTATTTGAATTTTAACCATATTTGTTAAATGTATTATAAAGATAATGCATTAAAAAAAAAGTCAAAAAATGAATACAATTTAGAAAGACTAGATGTGTCCCATACTGTTATGAACCCTGACTTGATGAGTCAATAAGTTGAATGCAATCGGAATTGCAAGTCTGACCAGGGAAATCAGCACCAGCCTACTCCTGGGTTCTGCTGAAAAACAGAAATTCTAAAAAAAAAAGAGGAAATAAAGATTAACATAAAACTGCTAAACAAAAAGAATACTAAGTGTTATTTATCATACCTTCATTTTTTTTTTTTAATGTGATGATATTGTTCCTTTTACCGCAATCAAGACACATTGCAATACAACAGTCATGTTTACTCTGTTCGAACAATAAATTTGAAGATAAACTGTTCGTTTCCCACTTTCAGCAAAACCAGTTCGCTGACTTAATGTACAATCCTGATGTGGAAATTCTCTGGGAGAAGCCAGAGTGTGCATTCAGGCATCCATTTCTTCATGAGGCAGTGAAGCCCTCAAAATGCAGAAACAAGGGAGAGCCAAGTACCTTTTTTGGTTCTCTCGGCTGCTGTATTCATTGCAGTAAATGCTGAAATAGCATTTACTTGGTACTTGGGTGAAGGTACAAGGAGACCTAAATTCTCTGGGAGCAGCAGTTCTTCTTAAAGTTTGCACAAGGTGCCCATTCAGTTGTAGATCTCAGCATAGTAGAACATCAGCAGATCATTCGCTCTCATAGATGACTCTACCGGGAGTCACCAAAAGGTTCACCCATGGAACCTGAGCAGAAATTAGGCTGCCTCTCCAAGTGTGAAACTGAGTTTTGTTTGGGGAGGAATGGTAAATAAATAAAAATTCTAAAAATAATACTAGTTAGTTAATTTAGTTGAGCCTCAATAGATGTGGCTCCATATAGGAACACTATAGCGTTTGGAATACAAAACTGTATTCATATAGTTATAGTGTCACTGATTCCATCAATACTTTCTGATGGGGATTTTGAAAATGTCCTCATGCACAGCCATGTCATTTCACGGAATTAAACTCCTTGAAAATGCAGGAAGCCTGTCTAGATGGTTGTCTGGAAGACGAGCACTAGAGGTTGTCTTAACCCTGCAATGTTTTACATCTCACATTGTACATTTAGTCAGCGAACTGGTTTTGCTGAAAGTAGGAAATGAACAGTTTATCTTCAAATTTATTGTTCGAACAGAGTAAACTAAACATGACTATTCTCTTGAAATGTGTCTTGAGTGCGGTAAAATGAACAATATCATCACGTTAAAAAATGAAGGTATGATAAATAACCCTTAGTATTCTTTTTGTTTAGCAGTTTTATGTTAATCTTTATTTCCTCTTTTTTTAGTATTTCTGTTTTTCAGCAGAACCCAGGAGTAGGCTGGTGCTGATTTCCCTGGCCAGACTTGCAATTCTGATTGCATTCAGCTTATTGACTCATCATGTCAGGGTTCATAACAGTCTGGGACACATCTATCCTTTCTAAATTGTATTCATTTTTCGACTTAAAAATGTCTAGTAGTTTGGACTGTAAAAAAAGTAAACATGCATTCTCCTGGCCAGGAAAAGTTGCAAGTTACTAAAAATATGTTCCAGTGTCTCAAGCAAAATGTTGAAAAGAAAAGGCAACATATCAGACAGATTTTTAGGTAAGAAGTTACATTCCAGAAACCTGATACGGAGTTCCTTTTTTTTTTTTTTAAACATTCTGATGGCACTAAATGTAAAATCTCAAATATATTTGGGACATGTTTTTGGCATATTATTAAAGTCTGTGCACTATGCAAAAGCGTCTCTCCCACGCTCACAGCAGAGCCAAAAGTCTCCAGGCAGGCATGTAGAAGTCTGGTTAATTTATAATCACTTATTAAATGTTTAAACATTGCAACAAAGACAAGAACATACGAAACCTAGTCCAATCCATTACAGAGGGTCCAGTTATTTATTTTGTTTTAACGGAGACTTAATGACAAACATAACAAACAGCGCTTAATCACCAGCTGCAAAGCTACCAGTGTTAACTAATAATTATCATAAGTCAAACAAAATATCTAAATATATTATTAAAGAATGACTCCAACCATCATGATGGTGATCATAACAGTTTGCTCTGTTACCTGATGTTTGATCCTGATGCTAATTAATTGGCTGAGAGTGTCATATGCAGCATTATCCTGCATTCTTTCTAATATGAAGGTAAGTATTACTTTTTTTTTTTTAATAAACAATCAAAAAGCACCCTTTAACTCTCACGTTAGTTATTTAAATGAATGTCCAAGTCTCCAGAACATTCATTTAAATAACTAACGTGAGAGTTAAAGGGTGCTTTTTGATTGTTTAGGGGAGTGGGGGGGGGGAATTGACAGAGGTGATAGCAGTAGTGTAAGGAAAATAAGTTTGTTTAGTTTCCCTTTAAACCTTAAAATAACCACAAGTTAAATTAATTATGAAAAGTCTTAACAAAACCTGGACTGTTGTGTATTGTGGACATTTTGTTATGTAGAGGCGCACATAATGCAAAGATGCTGGTTTTTAAAAGTGCATATTAACACTGTAAACCAACTTGGTTTACAGTGTTAATATGCCCTTTTCAAAACCAGCATCTTTGCCTTATGTGCGTTATAAATCCTTTTATCACTTATGGGAAGCTGTTCTCAGACAAACAGGAAGAACTAAATCTTTGGATTTTTATCTCTCTCTCTTGACACCCCATATCCACTATTCATGCTTGTCATACCTTACAAGTTAATCTGTCACACTAAAACTGTCTAAGGGCTTCTTAATCTGCCTGTTTCACCTGAAATAATTCAACCATGATCTTCTCTATAAAAAATGATTTCAAAGATATGTGCTTCAAGTTATCTCAATTAAGGCATCAACAGTATAACAGCTAACCTATTCTACACATCACTGAACATGAGCGAGATAAGGCAAAGTTTGCTGACTACTGAACAAAACGCTAATTTGATGTATTTGTTTGTCTTGGAACTGTTTGTTTTTTTGCATGCTGTTTTTACATGGATGTCATCACAAATTCATTAAAGTTATCATAGAAAAAAAGTGTTAGTGCATTAAAAATCTAAAACTGGTTAAATTACGCAGCACTAGATAATTTATTTTCTACTTTAAAATAAAGTAGAAAATAAATTATCGCACATAACTGCTTAAAGGGTTACTCCATGCACCCTGACAGCAACAGTGAGTTGAAGTGGTTATGGTGCCCTCCTAAATCTGTATGTGCAATTTTTTACTTGAAAATGCCTCTCATATGAAGTTCAGTCACACCGCTGCCAGACATAAAAAAACTACCTCTGGCCAAGTCATGGAGACGTCATTAGCCAGCCCAGAAATAGTGTTCCAGACTGGCTAATATAAATTCTGTATCTATTCCTATGTACAGAATTGCATTCATTGGCTGAGAGAGGTCAGCTGATGCTCTTTCCCAATGAATGGTCAACGGGATTAACTTCTGGCTTCCGTTGCCCTGCAGAAGTCAAATTTTGTCACTGGCCATAGAGAATCCTGGAATCCAGCGGGAACCCAGGTAAAAGAACAAACCATCAGCAGGGTTATGGAGCATATAGCTAGGAGCATATTCAGGTGATGCATAACAGTAATATTTAGAATCTGCACTGTGGGGAGTTCTTTTGGCGTTTGGCCTCACCACAATCTTTATGGTAGCTAGCTATATGATGTCAGAAAGACTTCCCCTTTCAGACAAGAAACAATGCCATGCTTATAAGAGCCACAAGGTCAAAACTGCAGTTGATGGCTGGTTCTGGTCATTGATCTTTGTGGATATAATATATTATCCCCTTCGCGACCACTGACCGTCCAACAAAAAACGGTTGTTAATGATCTCGGATTTACATGGTACGTCAGCGGCAAATGTGAGCGCTGGAAGCGATCGTGATCACATCCAGCCACTCTAATGGTATTGCAGCAATGCCTCGATGTCGAGTCATCCTGCAATACCTCTCCTGACTGCCGAGCTGCCATGTGGCTTCCAATATGGCGCTGCCTTTCTAAAGGCAGTGCATCATAGGGCTTCTGGGGGTCTCCCTAGCCTGCCCATCAAAGAGGCAGGCTAGGGTCATCCAATCACAGTTTGCCCCTATAACAATTTTATTATAGCTATGATCCCCATTTATCTGGTAAATATTGACTCTGATCAGTGTGGATCGCCCTCCCTCTTTTCACTTGTGTTTTAGTGAGAGTGATATGTGTTTAGGTAGAGAAATTTATGTAGTTTTAGGTAAGAATTTGTAAAGCTGTGAGACCCAAAGGCTCTTTTCAGAGATATTAACCCGAATCCTGCCAGTGATCACTATATAGATCACTGACTCTTGCACAGCAGCACTTATTTTTCTGTCTTATATTTTTTAGGGGTTAGTTTTTTTTTTGTGATTTTTTTTTTTTTTGTGACAGATCACTAACTAAATGTCACAGAGGTCGTATAGCGCCGAGGAGGCATATACCATCCTTGCGTAAGAGTCTGATGGGTCTATGTCTGACTCCGACCCTGATTTTGACCCTGCCAGGTGCTCAGATACATCACTAGATAAAGTGCCTGCTGCTAGTGATGTATCTAGTGATGTATCTGTGGCTGCTAGGCCCCATGCCAGAAGGAGACGTGCTGCTCCAGCTGGTAGCGCTGCTGAGGATTGGGTAGCGCCTCATCGCCAGAGGCTAGATATCCCACCCTTCACCACAAATCTTTGCATCAATGTGGATGTCGCAGGATTTAGCCCCAAACAGTGTATGGAGGTATTTCTGGGTGATGATGTATTCGGGAACATTGTCGCCCAAACTATTTTATATGCCCATCAGTTCCGTGCTGCAAAGGCTGACTCTTTTTTAGCAAAGTAGCAATGGGCCCCCATCAATGTGCCAGAATTTAAAAAATTCTGGGCATTAACTATGCTGATCGGCATCATAAAGAAGCCCTATATCCATTCCTACTGGAGCAGTAGCCCCATCTGTTCTACCACCATTTACTCCCAATGTCGAGGAAAAGGTATGAAATGATTCTACATTTCACGCACTTCAGCGACAACAGCCTGTGCCCCCCTAGGGAGCACCCCCAGTTTGACAGGCTGTATAAAATCCTGATTACCCACTTCGCTTCCAGGTTTGCAGAGGCTTATACACCTGGAAGGAATATATATGTGTGGATGAATCCCTGATGAAGTATAAGGGAAGGCTGAGATTCAAGCAGTATATTCCTTCCAAGCACTCCAGGTATGGTGTAAAGGTGTATAAGCTCTGTGAGAGTGAGACTGGGTATACTCAGGCTTTCCGGGTGTACGAGGGAAAGGATAGCCATCTTGACCTTCCAGGTTGCCCAGAACATATGGGAACCAGTGGCAAGATTGTCTGGGACCTGATATTCCCCCTGATGAACAAAGGGTACCACTTGTATACAGACAATATTCATACAAGTGTCCCTTTGTTCAAGCTACTGTATTGTTTTGATACAGTAGCTTGCGGTACAATCAAAAAGAACTGCGCAGGTTTCCCAGGACAACTTGCACGCACCTGGCTACGAAGGGAGGAGACCTCAGCCCTGCGCCAAGAGAAGCTGTTGGCAGTTAAGTACAGAGACAAGAAGGATGTGTACCTTCTTACCACCATCCACACTGAGAGGGCTGTGGAGGTCTCTGTGCGTGGCAGAGTAGAGAGCACATAACTGGCATATGGGTGGGGTTGATCTGGTAGTTCAGCTGCTGCAGCCCTACCTAATTATACGCAAGACAAGAGCCTGGTACATAAAGGTTGCAATTTACTTAATGCAGATTGCAACCCACAACACTTTTTTATTGTGCAAACAAGCAAACCCCGGAATGAAACTGACTTTTTACAGTTTCAACTCCAGATCATTTTGGGGATTTTGTACCAAGATGCACCTGCTCCACAGGCAGTGATGGGAGAGAGCAGAGTTGGGGCTACCTACTTTATTTTTTAAATCCTCCCAGCCCCCCACTGCAGCAAAGCAGAATCCTCAAAAAAGATGCAGTCTGTTTCAAGAGGGGGCAGAAAAAGGACACCATATTTTACTGTCCTGATAGCCCTGGACAGCCTGGACTCTGCATTGGGGACTACTTCAAGC